TCAATGGTGATCTTCCCTTTATCCTTCCTGCTCGGGACGGAGGAGGTGGACGATCGTGTCGAACACTTCATCTGTAGTGGAGGAATCACGCCTATAAGAAAAATATTTTCGTTAGCAAACTCAAGGAAAAAAGGGATCCCGAATGGAATTATAACGAGGGATGTTTAGAGACCCCCCAACTAGAGCCGGTCGGCTTGACACTGCAAGGAGGGATCCAACGTGGGCTCCTTGTCCCAGACCGGGAAGGCATTCCCCCGATCGGGAATGGGTAAAGGCTCCCCCACATGAACAAAGAAGAACCGTTCCTCCCATCGTTTGTGAGTGATGGGATTGTTGTTAAACAATTGTATCGTCTTACATCTGTGACTCAGACCTTACCAGAAACCCTGGAACAGATTGCCTCTACTCAGGCCACAGAATTCCAGAAGCTCTCCCTTCTACTTGGTGATCTAGATGATGTCAAAAAGGGGGGAGAAGGTCCTCATCTATCAAAACCCAGGACCACCAGAACCTCAACATCTGCTGAACCAAGTGTGGATCCCACACCTTACTTTGAAGCTGCCCTTCAGAAGAAAAGGCTAGCTGGTATCCCTAGACCTCCATCCCCACTGAAGAAAGGATCTAAGAAGAAGAAAGCTTTAAGCTTTAAAGAATGGAGACTGGGAGGTTCTCAGGTAATGACTGCTATACAATTTGATGAAATGAAGCAGAAGATGACCTCTACTCAACAACAGAATCTGTATTTGGACCATGATGGTCATGTAAAGGTCAGACATGGTGGATCTATGGAGGAAGCAGAATTCTGGTTTCACAACAGTATAGTACCAGGAAAAGATATCCATGAAGGTGTTCTTAACTACTTAGACTGCAAACTCTCACCAGTCTGGGCTTCTTACCAAAGAACTGGAAATCTGGCTGGAATCAGAAAAGGGGTGAATGCAGAACTAAAGAGACTACAAGGACTGGATGAACAAGCAAGAGCTGAAGCTGCAAAGGCAATTATGTAATCAACACTCTTGTAATCCACCTTAATAAAAGAACATCTCTGCCTCACAATTTGTAAGGCAATTCCTCTATCTTTGGCTTTCCTTTCTTTCTGTTTGTGTTTGTTTGTTTGCTTTTTGATATTCTATCTGCTGTCTGATTGTACCGCACTCTTACTATTTTCCTATGCCAAGTTGCCCACCAAGATTTTAATGGAAGTTCTAAACTTTAAATTTTTATGGTGAAGGCACTTCTCTGGAAATAGTTAAAGGGTTTTGGCATCATCAAAAAGGGGGAAATTGTAAGGAATATTTGTAATTAGATTTTGATGATGCTATATTAATTAGGACTTTAGAGTACCCCTTTAGAAATTATGTATTAGAATTTTCCGTTGTAAAGTTCTTAGCATAATCAACTACCAGAAGGCCTCCCTACCAGAAGACCTCCTGACAGAAGATCTTTGGTTCTCTGTCAAGGAACAGAAAACCTCAGGGTCTCTGTTAGCCTTTAGTTTGACAGAAACCCTCCTGGTTCTCTGAAAGCTATTATCAACAGAAGTGCTCAAGACCTTCTCTGATCAGTTCTCTGCTAAAGACACCAGAAGGCCTGACACTTGGAAGAATTCCACAAAGCCGGGAAATCAACTGAAAGATTCCTTCAACGGCTAGGAGTATTGAACGGAAAAGCTACAGTGCTCGCATTAAATGTTCATTTAATGCTCCCCATGCTCCGTGGAGTAATTGCAGATGATTGGCCGCAATGTCAGGATTACTTTATCCCAAAATAGTAACCCGCCAACTTTATCGGGTCCTACTGGTCAAGTCAACTGCTCGCGCATTAAATGCAGTTGTCCTCCTACTCCTCCAACGGGAAGACAACCTCAGTATAAAAGATACACTACGAAGAACAACCAAAATAACTTTGCAATTTTTGCTAACCATTGCTACAACTCTTCATACAAGAAATTCAAACGCTTAAAAGCAAAAAGCCTCCTTGAGATTCAAATTCATCATCTTCTACAAGAGAAGGCAGAAGTTGGAAAAATACCTTTTCCAACTCAAGCAAAGTTCCAAGTGTTCTTCAACTCTTCAAGCTCATCACATACAAATCTTTTGTAACGAAGCTAGTTGGAGGAACCCCTGTTCCAACAGAAACTCTTCTTGCTACAAGAAGGACGTCCAAGTAACTGGAGTAGTGAAGTGGTGATACTTCCAGGAAGCTCAGTGAAAGGACCAGTCTTAAAGGAAGCCAGGCAGTGCATCCCAGGAGACATCTAGGCTTGAAGAAGACGTGGAGAGCTTGTTAAGTGCTAGGACTAAGGCGTTGTAAACGGTCGTTTTTACAAGCTTAGTGGAATAGTGGATTAGAGGAACGAGTTGTTCCTTGAACCACTATAAAAATTCCTGGTGTCGTTTACTTACTGCTTTAATATTTGAACTTAGATAGAACTGTCTAACTCCTTAGACTTGGTATCTGTGTTCAGCAGAACGTGTCCTACGAGTTAACAGAAGGCCTACTGCCTTTGCTTCTCTGAGGCTAAATCAACAGAACTCCCTACCAGAACCCCATCCACTGCCAGTCTGTTCTGTCAACAGAACAGGCTATTCTGTAAAATCTGGTACTTAGTTTAAAAAGCTAAAAACCAATACAGTCTATTCACCCCCCCTCTAGACTGTATCCAGTACAACCGGGACCAACAAGTGGTATCAGAGCCTCCTTGTTCTAATAATCTCTTAGGTTATTTGCTGAACAAAGATCCACTTGTTTTTCTGTTTGACCTCATTTCTATCTGATATAATGGATCACTCCTTGTCCAAGAATCTTATGTTTTCAAATCTTAAGTTTGATGACTGGAGGATCCGGATGAAAGCACATCTCTGTGCTCTGCATGATGAGATGTGGGAAGTTCTAGATATTGGCCCTTTCACAAGCTTCCAGAAGGTCAATCCTGAGCATGCTATTGACAACACCAGACCCCAGATGATCAGTAAAGCCAAGTCAGAATGGACCACTGAAGAGAGGAGAAAGTACAACCTGGACAATATTGCTAAGGACATCCTCTACAAGTCCATTGATGATAGGTACTTCAACAGAATAAAGAAGTGCAAAACTGCAAAGGAAATCTAGGATACTCTTGAGCTCATTGGAGCTGGTGATGAGCAAGAGAAGGACAACAAACTAACTATAGCCAACAAGAAGTTTGATGACTTCAAACTTCTCCCTGGTGAAAGCAACTCCAAGATGTATGACAGGCTCCTCACTCTCACTGGAGAGATCTCTGAGCTTGGCAAGGAACTCACCACCAAGGAGATCAACCTGAAGGTGTTGAGGGGACTGCCCTCAGCATGGAAGATGAAGGTGGTTGTTGTCCAAGCCAGCAAGGATGTAAAGACTTATCCCACTGATAAGCTCATTTCAGATCTCAAAGCTCATGAGTTTGAAATGACTGAAGAAAAGGAAGATGTACCAGAAGAGAGGACCACTACAGCCCTCACTGCCAGCACATCAAAGGTAAATGATTTTGACCCTTCAGTACTTTTATCTGACGAATATATGGCTGCCTTTGCCAGGAGATTCAAAAAGTTTATGAAGAATCCCAAAGATGGAAGGAGTCCATCTTTCAACAGAAAGCCATACCAGAAGGTCAAAACAACAGAAAGCAGCGGTGAGCTTCTCTGTTACAATTGCAGACAACCTGGTCACTTCAAGGCTGATTGTCCCCATCCAAGGGTGTCCAAGAAACAAGGACAGGATGGAGAAAAGAAGAAGTACGAAGACAACTCCAGAAGGAGAAAGGCACTTGTGACAGAACAACTAGAGAAAGACCCTCTGTCAGAAACAGAATCTAGTTCTGACTCAGATTCTGATGAGGTCTTCTGTTGCCTTGATGCTGAGACAGAAGACCTTTGCCTCATGGCTCATTCTGATGATGAGGTAACCTCTACTTCTGAATCTAGTTTTTCTTCGGTAGGCTTAGCTTTTGATTCTGATTCAATGTCAGAATTTTGGGAAGAGTTTAAGGCCATACAAGCCACTTATTCTTCTGTAACAGAAGAAAACAGTAAGTTAAAAGCTGAAATTCTTGACTTAAAGAAGGAGGTTGAGATCAAAATCAATCTTCTAATTAAGGAAAGAGATCAACTGGAGACTGAAAATGTTTCTCTTCTCAAGAGAATAAGAGAGATAGAGCCTCTCGAGATTAAGTACAAAGCTTACCAGAAGGCCCAGTCTTCCATGGAAAATATTGTACTTGATCAACAGATTGGCACTGGTTTTGGTCTTGGTTATGGCTCAACAGAATCAGGTGAGCCTTCTGTAATGCCTAGCACCAGAGTTGCTAAGGCAGACAAGGTCATAGTGCCACTGATTTCTAGCCCCATTTGTCAAGCTGGTGTATCTGGCACCAAGGTTGTTCATGAGATAGTCAGACCAGAAAAGGGAAAGATAAAGGTTCAACAGAAACCCTTTTTGAAAAATAATGAACCTGGCAGAAAACCTAGCAACAGAAAAGGTTTTCAAAATAACAAAAATAAGAGACCGTTCATTGACAGACAACCTCATGTCAATCGTGCCAGAAATGATCACCAGAAGGGCAAATATCAAGAGAAAGTTAACTTTAGGCAGAAGAGGTTGGCTGGTCAACTTCAGAAGCCCAAGGTTAACCGTCCCTCTGCTCTTGATAGTATATGGGACTTCTTTCCAACAAAGAAAGCTATGCAAAAGTATGTAAACAGGAAGCATGACCCTCACAAGCATCTGCCCAAAGTGAATCACACTTCAGTTTACTATAACTACCAGGTGGACAATGGGTACCACCCACCAAGGTTTCACTTGATGAGACCAAAATGGTACCAACTACCCAGACTCCATGACCCCCAGGACCCAGCATTGCTTGGGTACCTAAACCTTTCTTTTGATCTTGCAGGAACTGTGTGCTGGAGCTATCTCTGAACAAGAATGGTTTATTGATAGTGGATGCTCCAGGCACATGACAGGTGACAGAAGTTGCCTAACAGAGTTCCAGAAATGCAAAGGACCTAGAGTTACCTTTGGAGGTAATGATAAAGATGGCCAGACAAAAGGAAGAGGAAAGCTGATCACGAACCAGATAATCATTGATGATGTCTCATATGTCAAAGGACTGAAGTTCAACTTGCTAAGTGCTAGCCAATTCTGTGACAAAGGCTACACTGTTGAATTCACAAAGGACTTCTGCTATGTGAAGCATGATACAACAAAGGAAGTGGTTCTGACAGCATCAAGGAAGAAGAACATTTATGTAGTTGATTGGAACACATCAAAAGATGGAGTTTGCCTGATAGCCAAGGGAGATTCAAAACTGAGCTGGGACTGGCACAAAAAGCTCAACCATTTGAACTTCAAAACAATCAACAAACTGGCCAGAGAACACATTGTAGAAGGGCTACCAGACATTGTGTACAAGAAGGAGACTCTCTGCAGTGCATGTCAGAAGGGCAAACAAGTGAAGAATTCCTTCAAACCCATTGCTGGAGATCTTTCTACAAGTCCTTTAAATCTGATTCACATGGATTTATTTGGACCTGTTGAGACTCCAAGCGTTGGTGGCAAGAAATATACCCTAGTCATGGTTGATGACTACTCCAGATATACATGGACTGTTTTTCTATCAAAGAAAAATGAAACTCTTCAGAAGTTGCCATCTCTGTTAAAGCAACTTCAGACTGAGAAGAACTTGAAGGTGAAGACAATCAGATCAGACAGAGGAACTGAATTTGTCAACCAAGTCATAAAGGACTTCTGTGATCAGAATGGGACTTTTCATCAACTTTCTGCCGCCAGAACCCCTCAACAGAATGGCGTAGCAGAAAGAAGGAACAGAACTTTAAAAGAAGCTGCAAGAACAATGATTGCAGAATCTGGATTGCCTATGAGATATTGGGCTGAAGCAATCAATACTGCATGCTATACTCAGAACAGAAGCATAATCAACAAGAATCACCAGAAGACCCCTTATGAACTCTGGAAGGGAAGAAAACCTAACATCAGCTACTTTCATGTATTTGGATGCAAGTGCTACATACTTAACAATGGAAAGGAGCATCTGAAAGTCTTTCAAGAGAAGGCTGATGAAGGAGTCTTTATAGGTTATTCAAACACCAGTAAAGCCTATAGAGTACTCAACAGGAGAACCCTACATGTTGAAGAATCTATACATGTGAAGTTTGATGAAAGCATCTCTGTTAAAGAGGTAACAGAGATCCTCAAGGAAGTCAACATAGAAGACAGAACACCAGAACCAACAGAAGAGGTGGCAGACAACCCTGCATTTCCAACACCTGCACCAAACCCCCTTCTGTTGAATGAAGATGAAGACTCTGAAGATGAGGAATCAGAGAGACCAAGACAGCAGCTGACAGAACCTGACCTAACATGGTTAAGAGATCATCCCCCTAACCAAGTGATTGGTCAAATCAGAAGTGGAGTTCAAACCAGATCCACATCAAGAAGAGAAGCAATGCTTGCCTGCTATATATCTCAAATGGAACCTATGACAGTTGAAGAAGCTCTTGCAGACTCATATTGGATCAATGAATTGCAAGAAGAGCTTACTCAGTTTGAAAGGAACAAAGTGTGGGAACTTGTTTCTAGACCAAAGCATCAGAATGTCATTGGAACCAAATGGGTATTCAAGAACAAAGCAGATGAAGATGGCAACATTGTAAGGAATAAAGCTATGCTGGTAGCCAAGGGATATTGCCAAGAAGAAGGAATTGATTTTGATGAGACCTTTGCACCAGTTGACAGACTTGAAGCCATCAGAATCTTTCTAGCCTACGCTGCTTACAACAACATCAAGGTCTACTAGATGGATGTCAAGAGTGCATTTCTAAATGGAGATCTTGAAGAAGAAGTTTATGTGGAACAACCACCAGGTTTTGTCATTCCTACTCAATCCTCTTATGTCTACAAGCTTAAAAAGGCCCTATATGGTATTAAGCAAGCTCCCAGAGCCTGGTATGACACATTGTCACTTTTCCTAGTGAACCATGGGTTTACTAAAGGAAAGGTTGACAAAACTCTATTTCAAATCTCTGTTGCTAATCATATTCTATTAGTACAAATATATGTTGATGATATTATATTTGGTAGTACTAATCCAGAACTGTGCAAGAAATTTTCTCAAGTGATGCAGAGTCAATTTGAAATGAGTATGATGGGAGAACTCAGTTACTTCCTAGGACTTCAAGTCAAACAAGTTCTAGAAGGGATCTTTATCAATCAAGGGAAGTATACCAGAGACCTGATCAAGAAGTTTGGAGTGGAAGGAAAATCCTCGGTGAAGATTCCCATGAACACCTCACAAGGAATTGGTCCAGATGATGAAGGAAAGGATGTAGATGCAACAACATATAGAGGAATCATAGGATCTCTGTTGTATCTAACTGCAAGCAGACCAGACATCTCATTCTCTGTTGGAATCTGTGCCAGATACCAATCAAAGCCCAAGGAAAGCCATCTAAGTGCTACAAAGAGAATCATCAGATACATAAAAGGAAATCCTAATGCAGGCCTATGGTATCCAAAGGGAGGTAACTTTGAACTAATTAGTTACTCTGACTCAGATTTTGCAGGTTGCAGACTAGACAGAAAGAGCACCTCTGGTCACTGCCAATTGCTAGGAGGAAGGCTTGTTTCCTGGTTTAGCAAGAAGCAGAACTCTATCTCAACAAATACAGCTGAGGCTGAGTACATTGCAGCTGGGAGTTGCTGTGCTCAACTACTCTGGATGAAGCAACAACTGAAGGACTATGGAATTCAAGCAAAGGATATCAAGCTGTTGTGTGACAACACCAGTGCCATTGCTATCACTCAGAATCCAGTTCTTCATTCCAGGACAAAGCACATTGAGATCAGACATCACTTCATCAGAGATCATGTTGAGAAGAAGCACATATGCATGGAACATGTGCCAACAGAAGACCAGCTTGCAGAAATTCTGACAAAGCCTCTTCCTGAGGCTAGGTTCAACAAACTAAGAGAGGAATTGGGAATGATGGATGAGATTCCAAGGGAAAGTTGAAAAGGAAGGCCCTCTATTGCTAAATTGTTGTTAACAGAATACCTGTTGCAGAACCCCTTCTGTTAACCTCTTCTGTTCTCTACCCTGGCAGAACACCTCAGCAACAGAAACCCCCTTTACAGAAAGCCTCCTCTTATGTCTATCAGAAGGTTGTGGACTTAGAAAAATCTGAAAACCGGGTGACCTAGTAAATTATTAAAGGTCTTTTACCCTTTTACCCTTAAAACGGTATCCAGCCGCATAATATTTACTGCGCCCCTTTTTACATTTATTGGTATCTTGGAACCGTAAATAATTCCAAGTGTCCACTAACCCAAACCCATAAATTCCCCCTTCGCAAACCTAAACCGTTACTGTGTTCATTACTCTCAAACTCTCAAACCTCCATAGCTCTCAAGCTCTCTGCAATTTTTCTCTGCTCAATGGCTTTCATCAACATTAATGACCTCACCAAGGAGGAAATCAATACCCTAGTTTCAAACATCTACACAGGGATGAACTGCGACCTCTCTGCACTCCCTGAACTCGCTGCAAACCACGAAACGATGATGAAAATCATCAAGGCAATGGAGGACTCTCAACTGAACAAAGTGGTAGGATATCACTTTGAGTCCTACAGTACAAGAGACGTAGCAGAGTTTTATCTGAATGCTACATACGAAGGGGAGACCATTCGGTCAAATGTCAATGGGGAGAACATAACCCTCACTCCTGAAGATCTCAACGCCCTGTTTGGCGTAGTGGAGGACCCTCAGGAAGAAGAAACTGAAGGTTTCTTAACTCTGGACAGTGTCAAGGTCACTGTGGACAACTTTGTCCAACTCTACTGCCGACCTGAAGTGAGTAGAGTCCCAAAACTGTACATGAAGAAGAACCTACTTCTGAGCGACTATGAGAAGTTGGTGAACATCCTGCATAGGTGTGTCTGGAGCAAGAGCACCTCCACTGATGACATGAATGTACTCAATGCAAAGGTTGTCTTTGCAGTTCATCATGGGATGAACATCAACTGGGGACAGGTAATTGTCAAATCCCTTGTTGAATTCATCAAGAAGAAAGACAAGGAGACCGGAATGTTCAAAACCCCCATGGGTTATGGTCTCTTAATCTCTGAAACCTTGCTCAAGGCAAGGATAGGGCTGAGAAACCCTATTGAGGCAGACTACACCAAGTTGCTCTTCCTCAACACCTCCAATGACAGGAAGGTTGCTCTCAAGGCAGAGCAGAAAAGGCTCAGAACTCTTGAGTTCAACAGAGAAAGGCAACAACAGAAGGTTGTTCAGCCAAAGAAAGTCACCAAGAAGCAACAGAAACCTCCTACCCCTTCTGATTCTGAAGAAGAAATGCCCTTGGTGAAGAAGGTGGTCAAGAAGGTTCCCAAAAAGAAGACCACACCTGTCAAAGTCCACAAGATGGTGGCAAAGAAATCTGTCCTAAAGAGAAAGGTACCTTCCCCTATCTCTATAGAAAGCACCCCCTCTGCTGCACCAGTTGCAAAGAAGGCCAAGATTCTGACACCTGCAGTACAGGAGAAGCTGGAGGATTCTGTCACCTCTGCCCCAACCAACAGAAATGCTTGGCAAGGCAAGAGGATTGTCTTTGAGTCAAGTGACGCAGAAGAAGAAGTAGTAGTGCATGATGCCACTACTCAGGGGGAACCACACTTCTCTCCTCCTGCCTCTGCAAATGATCAACCTCTGGTGGTTTCTTCACCAGAACACCAAGAAGATAGCAGAATTTCAAGCCCTGCAGAACCCCTACTGAACAACTTCTCTGCCCTTGATAGGGAATTCATCAGGGTTCTGGCATGGAGAAAGTGGAGAGTGGGACCTCTCACTGAGCTCCTTAAGAACTTGTCTTACTTCATCTCTGAGGAAGAAGAAGTACTCAGATGGGCTGACACAGAAGATGTGGAACAATGCCTAAGCAAGGATTTTCTTCTTTCTGTCCTACAGAAGAAGAAGGAGAAACTTCAAGGAAAAGCCCCTCTGTTCCGAAAATCACCAGAAGACCATGTCAAGGCTCTTCAAGAACATGAGATGGATGATTTTGATGCTTGGTTGGTTGAGAAGAAGAGGAAGGAGTCAATGATCAAGTTTCGACACAGTGCACATGGAAAAGGTGAACCCTCCACTGCAAATGACCTACCCTTGGTCATGGAGAAGCTCATCAAAGAATGGAGGGAATCTCTGTTCACTGAAACCATACTAGAGGTAATTCCCACAACCATTCCTTCTCCCCCTCCCTCTCCTAAAATCTCTTCACCCCAACCTCCACAGAAAACCCCTACACCCCAGAAACCCTCAAACTCCAAATCCCCGCCTCTTTCACCCTGCAAATCGTTCTCTCCCCCAAAGAACAGATCCCCATCCCCTCCCCCATCCTCTCATAGACAAATTGTCCAATACCAACCCCAACAGATCATCTCTTCAACAACACCACCTCAACAGAAATCCACTTCACCTACCAAGTCTGAACATGGAGCAACTCCACAAGACTCTCTTCCACCACAACAACCGGCAGATCAACAAAAACCTGAATGGTTTCTTAGGGATTCTGATCCTACAACCATATCCCCTATCTCTGCACCACAAGGGTATTCTAGGCATTCTATTGCCTCCAATCCCTCCCTAAGGAAGAAGAAGAAGAAGGTTGTAAGAAACAGAATACCTATCTATTCATCTTATGAAGATTCATCTGACATGGATGGATTCATGATCAGCAAATCTTACAAAGCCACATCAAAGAGACAGAAGACCCCTCCTCTGACTCAACTGGAACATGAACTGCCTGTTGAATCTCTATCATCTGTCCAAGAACATCACCCCTTGCCTAATGGAAGAGGTCTAGAGATGCCTCCATCTGATGGACAAAAGAACCAAATTCCTTTCAACAAATTTGTTGAAGCAGCTGAAGACTTTGGTGGCCAACTCCTCCATGGCATGAATAAGTTGATACAGATCAATGACAAGCACTATGGGCACCTTGCTCATGTGAATGATAAGCTCAACTCTGGGATGCAGTTTATCTCATATCGCTTTGAGAATCTGACAACATCTCTCAACGACTTCATGGCCTCCTCAACTGCTAAAACAGATACACTGTCAAGGGAAGTGGAAAGTATCCATAAAACCCTCTTCACATTTCATCAGACTCTGATAGCTCAGGGAAAAGCTATTGAAACAATCTCCTCAAATATTGATGAACTTCAAAGGGCTGATACAAAGACAAAGGAACAGCTACTGGACATAGAGGAACTGTGCAAAGTCCATCGTGATCAAGCCAGGACTCTATTTGCCCAAGACAAAGAGAGATACCAGAAGATGGTTCTCTTAGAAGCCAGTAATAAAGATATCATGTCTGCACTTCAGAAGCAACATGGGCTTATTGAAGGTCTTACATCTGTGACTCAGACCTTACCAGAAACCCTGGAACAGATTGCCTCTACTCAGGCCAAAGAATTCCAGAAGGTCTCCCTTCTACTTGGTGATCTAGATGATGCCAAAAAGGGGGAAGAAGGCCCTCATCTATCAAAACCCAGGACCACCAGAACCTCAACATCTGCTGAACCAAGTGTGGATCCCACACCTTACTTTGAAGCTGCCCTTCAGAAGAAAAGGCTAGCTGGTATCCCTAGACCTCCATCCCCACTGAAGAAAGGATCTAAGAAGAAGAAAGCTTTAAGCTTTAAACAATGGAGACTGGGAGGTTCTCAGGTAATGACTGCTATACAATTTGATGAAATGAAGCAGAAGATGACCTCTACTCAACAACAGAATCTGTATTTGGACCATGATGGTCATGTAAAGGTCAGACATGGTGGATCTCTGGAGGAAGCAGAATTCTGGTTTCACAACAGTATAGTACCAGGAAAAGATATCCATGAAGGTGTTCTTAACTACTTAGACTGCAAACTCTCACCAGTCTGGGCTTCTTACCAAAGAACTGGAAATCTGGCTGGAATCAGAAAAGAGGTGAATGCAGAACTAAAGAGACTACAAGGACTGGATGAACAAGCAAGAGCTGAAGCTGCAAAGGCAATTATGTAATCAACACTCTTGTAATCCACCTTAATAAAAGAACATCTTTGCCGATTGGTAGGTGTAGAAGGGTCTAGACAGCGGAGAAGACCTAGATGATTACGCAGAAGGCTGCGGAAGGGGCTGCGCCTCCCCCTCCGCCCCAGCCAAAGGCGTGGAATAGAACTTTTGCTTCAGTGCTTGTTGGAGGTGCGGATGATCAGCCTCTTTCGAAAAAGAATATCACACGTTACAAGGGTATGCCGGCTGTATCCTTTCCGGAAGAGGAGGTCAAACTTTTGGCCTCTAAACATCAACGTGATTTGGTTGGTTATTTCTTTTCTGGAAGACCTACTATGGTTTCATTGCGTAAAGCCTTTGATCTGATTGGTTTTAAAGGAAAATTCCAGTTAGGTCTTTTGGAGAAAAAACATATTTTAATTCGTTTTGATTTAGAAGAGGATTATTTACGTTGTTGGAATCGCCAGGTTTGGGATATATTTGGTAGTGTGATGCGTGTTACTAAATGGACTCTAGATTTCAAACCAAATGTGGAATCCCCGGTGGTTCTTATTTGGTTGAGTTTTGAGAATCTACCTATACATTTACATGATAGAAGGGCGCTTTTTGATATTGCGGGAATGATTGGCAGACCTTTAAAGATCGATGCTGCTACAGCATCTCTGGCTAGACCCTGGGTGGCTAGAGTTTGTGTTGAACTTGATCTCACAGGGGAGATGCCAAACAAAATTTGGATTCAATGTGGCTCACATGGTTTCTCGCAGTCTGTTAACTACGAGAATAGGCCACATTATTGTGTTAAATGTATGCATCTTGGGCATTCTGGGAATGCATGCCCAAAGAGGATGGGTATTCAGAATACTGAGGTTGAAGATATTAAAGCTAAGGAGAATTGGGTTGTAAAGCCTAATAGAATTACAAAATCAAATGATACAAAGAAAGCTCAAAATTTAATTACAGACGGGATCATTGGGGAGGTGAAATCAATTGATATGAGCAAAGCCAAAGTGGTACAACACATTAAGGCCACTACCAATGCTTTAGACTTGTTACCATCTTCTACCAAAACTGAATCAGGAGAGGAGACTGAAGATGATCCAGTTAAAGAAAAACCTGAACAAAGTCCGAAACATATGGAGTTGCTACTTCAAGAAAATTTTAAAGCAAAGGGTGCTAAGCTACTGCTAAATGAAAGGGCTGAAGATGATTACCAGGTTTTGAAGCTACAGCAGAGAAACAATTATGATCCTACTCTTTGTGCAAAGGGCTACTCATCTGATGGGGACTTTTGCTTCATTGAGAGTAAGGATAAATGGAAGGAGGGGCAGCTGTGTCTAACCAGGAAAGTTGCAGGTCTGTTGGAAAAACATTCATTCAATATAGATGATAAAACAATTCTGGATTCATTAGACAAAGCAAATAAAGATGTTCCAGATGGTTTCATTCAAGTGGCAAGAAGAAAGAAGAATCAACAACCACAAAGGAAATTGAACTCACCAATGCTTACCAGGAACGCAGCTAGGAAGCTGTCATTAGCTTTTCCCCCCCTGTTTTAATGAATTGTCTCATATGGAACACCCGTGGTCTTGTTTCTTCCTGTCCAAGACTACGGAATCTAATTAGACAATGGAAGATTCAATTTTTGGTTGTGATTGAACCTATTGTTGCTACATCAAAAATTTCTACAATTGCTTTGGATTTGGGAATGGAAAGTTATTACTTTAATGATGATAATAAGATTTGGCTTTTCTGGTATTCTAAACATATAGGAGTTTCTAATATCAATAATGGAAATCAGTTTACTCATATGAAACTTCAAAATGACTCCTTTTCATTTTGGTTTACAGCAGTTTATGGGGAACATGATTACACTAAAAGGAGGTCTTTATGGTCATTCTTGGAGGACTGGGCTGATTCTAATCAGGAGGCTTGGATGATTGGAGGAGATTTTAATGCTATTGCCTATCATGGTGAACATAAGGGTATATCCAATCCCCCCTTGAAAAGTATGTCTGAATTTAAGGAATGTATTGACAAATGTGAGTTGTTGGATTTACCTTATCATGGCAGTCCCTATACCTGGTCAGGAGTTAGAACAACAGGCAGGCTGTGGAGAAGACTAGATAGGATTTTAGTTAATCCAATTATGCTGGATTTGTTTGATTCCATACACATAAAACACCTCAATAGGACTTCATCTGATCATGCTCCAATCCTGTTTCAATGCAAAAATCAAATAGTGAGGGGACCAAAAGCATTTAAATTCTAGAATATGTGGATTTCTCATCCCAACTTTTTAAATGTTGTCAAGGATGCTTGGGGATCATGCAAGACTGGGGGAGGAATGAGGGTTTTTTATGATAAACTCAAATTTCTCAAAGTCACTCTAAAGGAGTGGAATAAAAGATCCTTTGGTAATATTTTTGAGGATATTACTAAACTGGAAGAGGAAGTAAGACAGGCAGAATCTATATATGAAGGAGACCCTACTGACAACAACAGGGAACACTGGTCTTTTTTGCAAGCATCACTTCTTAATAGACACAAGCAAGAGAAGGCTTACTGGAGGCAAAGATCACACATCAAATGGATTAAAGAAGGGGATGCCAATACCAACTTCTTTCATTCATATGTTAATATTAGAAGAAGGATGCAACACTTATCTTCTATCAAAGATGCTGCAGGAAATCTGTGCACTGAACCTCAATCTATTGCTAAAGCTGCAGAGCAATATTTTGCAGACATTTTTGCTTATGAACCAATTCAAGATATAGATGAAATCCTGCAATATATACCAAAATTAGTAACTGATTCTGACAATGACATGCTCATGAGTATGCCTAACATGGATGAGGTTAAGGAGGCTGTATGGGGTTTAAACAAAGAAAGTGCAGCTGGCCCGGATGGATTCAATGGTGTTTCTTATAGGAAGTGCTGGGATATTATAGGGAATGATGTGCTTAAAGCTGTTCAAGACTTCTTTATAAACAATCATATTCCTACAGCAATGGCTAGCTCACTTATTATCCTTATCCCTAAAGGTGATAAAGTTTCAAATTTTGCAGATTTCAGACCTATTAGTTTATCTAATTACATGAGCAAGGTGTGTACAAAGATTGTGGCCTCTAGAATCAGCACACTACTTCCTAAATTGATATCTATAGAACAGGCTGGATTCATGCAGGGTAGGGATATTTCAGATCATATCCTTGTGGCTCAGGAAATGATTAACTCTATTGACAAAAAAATCAGGGGTACTAATATTGTTGTTAAACTTGATATGGCAAAAGCCTTTGATAGGCTTTCATGGATCTTTCTGGAAAACATGCTATCCAAATTTGGGTTTAATGGGAATTTTACAAGGCTAGTTATGAATCATCTTCAAGCTACTCATTTTTCTATCCTTATTAATGGCTCACCAACTGGTTTCTTCAAGCCCTACAGAGGAGTTAAACAAGGAGACCCACTATCCCCATTTCTTTTTATTTTGGCTGCAGAGGCTTTTTCTAGGGGCCTAAAAGAACTTATATCTTCAGCTGCTATCAAACCATATTGGATTGGTAAAGATGGACAGCCAGTCTCTCATCTATGTTTTGCAGATGACATTCTTATTTTTATTAATGGTGAGGCTAGATCTATTCAGAATTTTAACAGATTTCTTGGTTTGTTTCAAAGAGCATCTGGGCAGTCTGTTAATCTTAACAAAAGCAGTTTTACCTGTGGAAAAACTTCACTGGGAAGAGTGAGAAGACTTGAAAAGCTGTTGGGGATGACCAAAGTCAACTTGCCAATGAAATATCTGGGAGCCACCCTGCATAAAGGTATAAACAGAATTAGATACTGTAATGGTACTATTCAGGCCTTTGATAGAAAGTTATCTCATTGGAAAAAGAAGCATCTTAATATGGAGGGAGAGTAATTTTAGTTAAACATGTATTGAATACAATTCCCTTATATATAATGGCTGTGGACACTCTTCCCAAATCTGTGGTTAGGGTATTGGAAAGGAAAATGGCCCAGTTTGTGTGGGGATCAAACAATTCCAAAAACAAGTATCATTGGATAAATTGGAGGGATATTTGTTTTCCTACTGAAGAAGGAGGATTAGGAGTCAGATCTTTGATGGATTTAGAGAAAGCTTATTCTCTAAAAATATGGTGGAAATGGAAGAATAACAACACTCCTTGGGCAAATTTTTGCAGTTTAAGATACCCTAGAGACAGTAATATGAACCCTAAGACAAATGATTCCAATATTTGGAAGAGAATTTGTGGGATTAACTCTATGGGGTTGCAGCAAATTGAGTTGGAATCAGATGGGAGAGTGATTTGGTTACCTGACAAATCTGGTGAGTTCACCCTATCTTCTGCCTATCAGGTAGTCAGAGGGAGGAAAAGTAAATGCTTCTCATATCAACATGCCTGGCATAAGCATCAGGTTAAACAAATTCAAATTTTTCAATGGAAGATGCTTCACAGGATACTACCATTTCCTGATAATATTAGTAGATTTGGAGTGACTATTTTCCCTACTATGTGCCCTATGTGTAAAAGAGATATGGATACAATGGACCATACACTTTATAATTGTTCATACTCTAGACAGATTTGGAAATATTTTATGGGTTTATTTGAAATTCCATATTATACAAATTACATCACTACTAGACAGGTTTTTATTGCATGGTGGCTAGAAGCAGGATCAAAATCCCTTATGGATATATTCAGACACAATATGCCTGGAATTGTTGGATGGCATATTTGGAAGATTTATACTAAGCTTATTTGGGGGGATCCGGCAGGTATACCACCAGTACATAAGATAATTCTTCAGATAAAGAATTATACCCAGGGTTGGTATTTGGCGAGATTACAGAAAGTTAAATTTGGTAGAAGACCAAACCCGATTCTTGTTGAGGAATCTATCATTCCGGTGGTTCAAGCTAGCAAAACAAAGATACAGATTATTAGATGGAAAATACCTGAGAAGAAATACAAAATGAATGTTGATGCTTCGTATGGAGAGGATGCGGCCGGAGGTGCGGTTGTACGAACGAACACAGGTGACCTTGTTGTTGCTCTTCACTTTCCTATTTCAGCGAAATCTGCCTTTCAAGCTGAAACGACTGCTATAAAGGAAGCGACCTCGTGGGCAATGAAACATGGGATTGACGATTTGGAGGTGGAATCGGATTCTAGAGAGGCGGTTGAGGCTATCAGAAATGAAGAAAAATTTTGGTGTAGCAGTGATACGAAGGAGTTGGGAAGATGGATGGTCGAGGGTAAAATTACGCTCAGACATGTGATGCGGGAAGCAAATTGGCCAGCTCATTATGTGTCTAAATTAAATTTGAAGGCTCTTACTGTTATTTCTAATTTAAGGGATTTGCCATGTTATATTAGGAGATCCTTAATTGCAGATAAACTCCAATTAAGTTATCTTAGATTTAATTAATGTTTTCATTTTCTGATTGCTTTTTATTTCATGTATTTTGAAGAGGAATGCCTCTTTAGGGGAGGTCTTGGTCTAGTCCCCCTCCCCTTTTGTACTATTTCTTTATTTTAATAAAACCTGGCAAATGTTCTCCGGCATTTGCCCCACTGATTTTGGTGGTTTACCTACCGGGTTCAAAAAAAAAAAAGAACATCTCTGCCTCACAATTTGTAAGGCAATTCCTCTATCTTTGGCTTTCTTTTCTTTCTGTTTGTGTTTGTTTGTTTGCTTTTTGATATTCTATCTGCTATCTGATTGTACCGCACTCTTACTATTTTCCTATGCCAAGTTGCCCACCAAGATTTTAATGGAAGTTCTAAACATTAAATTTTTATGGTGAAGGCACTTCTCTGGAAATAGATAAAGGGTTTTGGCATCATCAAAAAGGGGGAAATTGTAAGGAATATTTGTAATTAGATTTTGATGATGCTATATTAATTAGGACTTTAGAGTACCCCTTTAGAAATTATGTATTAGAATTTTCCGTTGTAAAGTTCTTAGCATAATCAACTACCAGAAGGCCTCCCTACCAGAAGACCTCCTGACAGAAGATCTTTGGTTCTCTGTCAAGGAACAGAAAACCTCAGGGTCTCTGTTAGCCTTTAGTTTGACAGAAACCCTCCTGGTTCTCTGAAATCTATTATCAACAGAAGTGCTCAATACCTTCTCTGATCAGTTCTCTGCTAAAGACACCAGAAGGCCTGACACTTGGAAGAATTCCACAAAGCCGGGAAATCAACTGAAAGATTCCTTCAACGGCTAGGAGTATTGAACGGAAAAGCTACAGTGCTCGCATTAAATGTTCATTTAATGCTCCCCATGCTCCGTGGAGTAATTGCAGATGATTGGCCGCAATGTCAGGATTACTTTATCCCAAAATAGTAACCCGCCAACTTTACCGGGTCCTACTGGTCAAGTCAACTGCTCGCGCATTAAATGCAGTTGTCCTCCTACTCCTCCAACGGGAAGACAACCTCAGTATAAAAGATACACTACGAAGAACAACCAAAATAACTTTGCAATTTTTGCTAACCATTGCTACAACTCTTCATACAAGAAATTCAAACGCTTAAAAGCAAAAAGCCTCCTTGAGATTCAAATTCATCATCTTCTACAAGAGAAGGCAGAAGTTGGAAAAATACCTTTTCCAACTCAAGCAAAGTTCCAAGTGTTCTTCAACTCTTCAAGTTCATCACATACAAATCTTTTATAACGAAGCTAGTTGGAGGAACCCCTGTTTCAACAGAAACTCTTCTTGCTACAAGAAGGACGTCCAAGTAACTGGAGTAGTGAAGTGGTGATACTTCCAGGAAGCTCAGTGAAAGGACCAGTCTTAAAGGAAGCCAGGCAGTGCATCCCAGGAGACATCTAGGCTTGAAGAAGACGTGGAGAGCTTGTTAAGTGCTAGGACTAAGGCGTTGTAAACGGTCGTTTTTACAAGCTTAGTGGAACAGTGGATTAGAGGAACGAGTTGTTCCTTGAACCACTATAAAAATCCCTGGTGTCGTTTACTTACTGTTTTAATATTTGCACTTAGATAGAACTGTCTAACTCCTTAGACTTGGTATCTGTGTTCAGCAGAACTTGTCCTACGAGTTAACAGAAGGCCCACTGCCTTTGCTTCTCTGAGGCTAAATCAACAGAACTCCCTACCAGAACCCCATCCGTTGCCAGTCTGTTCTGTCAACAGAACAGGCTATTCTGTAAAATCTGGTACTTAGTTTAAAAAGCTAAAAACCAATACAGTCTATTCACCCCCCTCTAGACTGTATCCAGTACAACCGGGACCAACAGAAAAGGTCCACATCCTGCTGGATACCCAGACCATGGCACCAAATAATGAAGACGGTCAAGATATGATCCTAGCACGAATTCAGATGGAGACACCGACAGCCGGCGTATGAACTCTACGATGAATGGGTGCAAAGGGAAACGTAATCCGCCAACAACGGAATCTAAGTGCACAAGCACATGTCCCGTCCGGTGTCTCATCTGGTGACAGATAAAGCCTGCGTAGTATTGCCGAGGGGGTGGGAGCAATTGCTTGATCTGGCGCACCGCCTACGCAGATAAATTTTGGCGCTGACGCCGCACGATAGTAAACTTGAGGGCCACCCGATGGGGCCGCTCAGGCATTCCACGTACGTAAATGGGGAGATCATTCCGCAAGCAGCAACCATCGTCAGGGAGCTGCTGCTTGACAAGTGGCCGGGACGACGAGTCAGACGGGGAAGTTGTGCCCTTGGCAGAAGAGGTGCATGCGTGGCTGCTCGTTCCGGCCTTATCGATTGCCCAACGGGTCAGAACAATTTCCTCCCTTTTCGAGGAAATGAGCAAGTTTGATTGAGACATGGACCTAACTCAAAGAAGGAACTAAGGAAGATAAGTACCAAAGTTTGGGGGCTTAGAAATATAAATTCTGCAGGGTCCCGCTACTGGAGAATAATGCAAGTGAAGGGAGAAGGGTTTCGCACCCCGTGTATATAGAGGCCACCGTTCCTGAAGCAAATCTACGAGGAACACATGGCGCAGGATCTCGGGAAGGGGTTCAGATACGTCATGACCAGACATCTCTGAACGACTATTCCAAGGCAAGCTCTAACGCCAATTATCCCTTATGTCCACATCGCCAAACGACGGAAGCTGTCAGGGAGGAGTAAAAAGTTTGTAATGAGGGGTTAAAGCGAGCTACATTCTGATTGATCGAATGACAAGATAGTTTTTTTCATGAAATGACTAAGTTGTAAATCCTTTTCGTCCGAGAGGCAAGACAATATACAAAGACACTGTGTTCCGAACCACCAAAATAAGGAGAATGAAACAAGTATTAAGCGTAATGAATGACAAAAATGTGGGCAAAAGTATATTTACTCTTCAGCTCTACCGGCCGGCATATACAGAACGGGTAAGAAATATTTGACAAAAGATTTTCCAAAAAGGACTACATGTTGAGAAAAATAAGATAGGGATGGCTCTACTGGCCAACACCCCCATTAGCATCATCTTCTTCATCATCCTCCGACTTCGTCAGCGGTTCGAGAACCAGGCCAACTTCATAATCGACAGTCTTCTTCTGGTCCCGCTCCCACTTCTCAGTTTGGGCCAAGAGGATATCATTATCAGAATAATATGCCATCACGATTGGCTTGCCTGCAAGCAGCTTCGGGACTGGCATCACAGCTCTCAGTATGTGCTAGCAACCCGTGACGTAGGTTCCCTGGGCCATAGAGTTTGACCATTATTTCCCACCATGGTCCAATCTCCCAACTCGATCCCCTTGTCGTGACGTTCGATCCGGGGGAACTACTCAAGGAACTTCCCGAATGACTCCGCCAGGTGGGCCTGAGCCTACTCCTCAGCTACCTCATAAAATTCCTCGAAGGATCGATACGCCGCATGGACCGCATACAGATCGACGTCACCTTATGGGGGCATTCAGGGTCTGACTCTCCATCTCCTTGAAGGCAACTTGGGCGACATCAGCAGCATCTACCTTTTCTTGTGCAGCCGCTAGTTCCACCCAGAGTTGGCCCAGATCAAGGTTGGCCTTGATCCGCTCCTGATCGGCAGCCTGGAGGACGTCAACGATGGTCTGCTCCGCCACCGTTCGAGCATTGAGCAGCAGCAGCTCCCTCTCCTTATGGGCGCTCCACAGATGGAGCCCGTATAGGCTAGCATGTACGGGATTAACAAGAATGTTAGGTCACGACAAAGAAAGGGAAAAACAGAGCACCGGACGATACATTCCCAATACCTTGAGAGCCACGAGGTAAATGCCCTCGTCGGCAGCCGCAACGGACATAGGCGGGAGGATAGGGTCATTTATCTTAACGGTGGCGCTCCAGATCTGGCTCGCGGGGCACAGTTGGTCCCTATTTAGAGATTAATCTATTCTAACAACAATATATCGATCTAACAGAGAGAGAATCACAGAATGATAAGGCAGTAAGATGATCGTTGAAACCTTCTCTAGTATACGATGGAAACCTTTACAGATTGATGTTTATCGCTAAAGATCTAAAGGTCTAATATCAAAGTTAACGCAAACCTAATCCTTACGCGCATATATATATGCGAAGGTAGGTTTGCGTACAGGCTTTATGTCAGGTATATGGGCCTGACAACTTTGGCCACATATCCTTTATACCCTAATAAATATAAAGCATGAATACATGAAGGTATAATAAAGGCTAAGGTATTACAAGACAAAAGACAAACTTGATTCACAACAGAATAGTCTTCAACAACCAACCCCCATGTTCCAACACATCATGGATGGGGTCCGCAAGGGTGATCCAACTAAGGCGTTTAGAAAGAGTTGCATGCATGGCCTCGTTCTCTACCCCTAAGGCTGCATCCAACGGCTAAGCAAAGAAAGGGACAGAGGTCCCCGACTCGAACAGCGGATCCACCATCATCGCATGGTCAGTAAGGGGATCTTGCTGCTCTTGCACAGCCGATTGGACCACACCAGAGGTGTGCTGCTGGACGAGGCTGGGAGCCGACAGAAGATTGGCTCCGAGCGGGATGCTTGGCCTTCCTCTTCCTCTTGTTTCCTCCACCCAAATGCGCCAAGTGGTTCTCATCCATCCTCGGAGCTTCGAAATTGAGAGCTAAAATAAACAAGAAAGAATCAGTACCGTGCAGCCAAAATGCGGTGAAAAGGTGCAAATGCATGAATGTTTCCCGCTAAGAAGGACCGCTCGAGCCATGGCACTTGGGTCTTAGTCAAGAACTCCAGGAGTTCAGGCAGTACCTGTCCTGATGGTGACCATTCGTTCAGAGGTTAGATAGTCCAGGATTTTTGAAATTCCACCCCTCTCCAGGGCAATGATCTTCTCCCTCAGCTATTCTGAAACGAACGGTTCAGGGACCTTGGGCGGGTACGTGTTAAGGCTGTATTTCAACACGCATTTGATGCGTGCTGAGATCGGCTTTTGATGGTTTTCCTAGTTAATATGTGCCACAAGTCTCCTAATTAGCTCTCAAGTCATAGTTTACCGGGTTTTAGTTTGCATTTTGTATTTTTAGAATTAAAATCAGAAAATTAAGTGATAAGTCCGTATTTAGACACACATTTGATGCATGTTTAGATCGACTTTTGATGGTTTCCCTAATTATTTTGTGTCACAAGTCTAATTTTTAGCTCAAGTCATAGTTACCAGGTGTTGGTTCGAGT